GCCAGGTCACTGAGCAGACAACTGTAAAATGGTCTATTAAATTCTTGCTTGAAACGGAATCTTGACTTCCCAGCCCCACCCCACAACCCTCTATCCTGGTGATATCAAGAGATCCAGGCATATTTTCCCCAGTGGCGTAACTTTTTGTTTTCGCCCATATGTACTCTCCCATATCTCACAATTCTCTCACTTACTCCGAGAATGTTCAACAAGGCTATAACAAACGCTCAAAAAGTTTGATCTAAAACGTCAAACCGTCTTAAGGCAGTTCATTCGGTGAGAGAATATAACTGGCAATGTCACAAACAGTTCGCTCATGGAATTCCTCGTAAGTTCATGTTATGTTGTCAATGATGTGGAGACTCGTGTGGGAGAAACCGCATGTGTCCACGCCATAATGCTTTCAGAGCAATGTTCATACTACTTTAGTGAAGAAAGAGAACACTTCAGTTTATAAAGATTTAACTATTTTATTACATGCTAACGCAACATCCATAACAGAGAAGAAACAATGCCTCAAGATAATCGATTCTTGAATTGTCAAAAAGTTCTGACTACGTAAAAAACAATTTCGTTGTTTCCCACTGTCTTGGCTCACGTACAGAAATTTAAAAGGTCAAAAAAAAGTTGGGGAATATCATAGTTTAGTCCGGGTAACTTCTTTGTGAGTCGGATGAAGTACATACTTACTTTCCTGAAATCATTTTTCCCGGGTACTCACTTATTTGACGATAAAAACAAACGACATTTTGACCCCTCTGAGGTCATTTTCAAGTTAAAAGAAAGTGATTGAAATAAGCGTATATATGTAAATTTAAAACATGCGATAGTTAAAAGCGATAAAATGTGTACTCACTTATTATGTGCTTGGAAATCTAAACTTTGACTTACTTGACTTAATGTTTGACCTTCTGTCCCCAACTCAAAAAATAAAATTGTAAGCACAATCGCAAAAACTATTGAATATTAATTAACAAAACTGAGGACACATATTTAAATGTTTAACTATGCCCTTCATCTCAAAAGGACCATACAATAATCTTCACCAGTTCAAGGGTTACGTTATTTGCCAAATGTAAATCCTTCGCATCGGAGACCCAGGGGCAGTTAGTGGGGACGGGGAAAAGTCTAAACGGGCGAGAAAAAATTTCGTGCGAAGAATTCTTGACTTTTCTTTGCCCGAATTTTTTTCTCGCCCGTTTAGACTTTGCCCCGCCCCCTCTAACTGCCCCTGGGTCTCCGGGGATGAATCCTTCACTACATTTCCTCTCTTGTTGTAGCCCTCTTTTTTTGTATGTCCAACCATTTTGTAACAGTTTTTGTCACGAATAGAATAAACATGGAAAATCTATGACGAAATTAGAAAAACTAAACTAAACTTGGGTATATTCACTAAGATTATCCAACACAGCTCTCTCGATGAGCGAGTAAGTACGTTTATGTTTATCCTTTCGTAATTTCTTGGATAAGAGTTTCTTGAATAAGCTCAGGTGAGATCTTCTACCAAGCTTAGCTAAGCTTTTGAACTTCGCTGAGAAGATTCACCTTTAGGTGGTATCGGACTGAATCTCTTGTCCTAAAAACAAAACACACAATCTTAGTCATGGTTATAAAGAAACATTCGGAGTCTTTCAGATGTATCTAAGTAATAGCTGGTAAGAAACGTTTGTAGAATTCCTGTGAATACAATATCAACACCTTTCAAATACAATCAAATTTTTGTTCCACATCCGGGACGCTCAAATTTGCAGGCTATGGAAAATCGAACTGAATCTAGACAACAGCAAGATGGAAAGTTCGATCTCTACTTTCAAATCCGTACTTTCAAATTTTCACTTGGAAAAGGTAACCTAGGGCTTAATAAATAACTAGATCCTTTGTTTAAATATAAGGCATGCAGCGTTTATTGTCAGATCAATCGCTTCCGTCAGCGAATGTGAATGAAGCACTTTATACTTAAGAATACTTACGATTCACTTCTTTTGATCAAATTCTAGAGTGACATCATCTCCAATAAGTACAAAAGGCGCCCAGTATTTCACATCGCTGTACTTTTCTGATTCTCTGAGGCTTTTCACGGCCAGGTTCAGGGCCTCGCTTGCACTTCGTTCTTCCACAAGATGATGGTAGAAACTTCTCATAAACTCCAGGGTGGCCTCATCATCGATCGCCCAGAGTGAGACCAGAACAGAACGAGCACCAGCACCCATAAAAGCACGTGCAATACCGACCACTCCCTCTGCTTTGATCTCTCCTCGACCACTGTGACCACAACTCAGTACTACCAGTTTTGCTCGAAGTTGGACACTCAAGACATCTGCCATTGTTAAAACGTAATCATCCTCGGTGATTTCAGCTACTGTTTCGGGATCTGAGGTCAAAGCAATTTCACCATTTTCCATGCGACAATGTGCTGACCTTTTCTCCCTCCTCTTTGACGAGACGAAGATGGAGTATATGGTAGTCTGTGGCCTTTTTGAAATCACCGAGAGCGGCATAAACAGCGCCAAGATTTCCAAGTGCCCTTCCTTCTTCAGCCTTGTCTCCCACCCCTATGGCGATCGCAAGATGTAAGTTGTGAAAGGCTATGGCTCTTTTGAATTCAGAGAATTGGTAATAAGCTTTGCCAAGATTACCGTAGGAGTCTCCTTCAGTCTTTTGTCCCACTTCTTTGGCAAAACTGAGCTGAAGGTTGTAGAAGTCAATGGCTCTTCTGAAGTCACATAGGTGATAATATACGTTACCGAGATTTCCATAAGCACGTTCCTCGGCAGTTTTGTCTTTCACTTTTTTGGGCAATACTGAGCTGTTTCTCGTGGCATTCCAAGGCTTTCCTGTAATCGCCCAGAACGGCGCATACATTGGCCAAACTGTCGTATATACGATGAAGCAGAAATTATGCTTGCATATTTTCCTGGGTCTTATTTTCCAGTCCTCGGATTACTTTTACTTTTTGGTTACAATAGTCTATGGCTGTTTCGAGATCACCGGACACGAAAAAAGCTAACCCAAGGCCGCCGTATGCCACATCTTCCATCGAGTTGTCCCCCGTTTCTTTGATATCAGCACGATATCGGTTTTAGCACTGTATGGCCTTCTTATAATTGCCTCGAGATAAACCATAGCAAGGCCACCATATCCAGATCCTTCAACACCCTTGTTTCCTGCTGTTCGTGTAGTTCTGATCAACCAGTTACAGAACTTTACGGCTACATCATCACCTACGAATACCTAGAACAGAAGGTTTTCTCAGTGAGAAGCTAAAGAATCTTCCCCTCATAAAGAATTACGAGTCCATTGGCGAAGGATCAGTAGAGCTAGCACCGAATTGAAAACGCCACAACGACTGTAATTTATTCTTCAAGCTCCAAAAATACCGAAAGTAGTGTCAAAGATCCATTTAGTCAGTTGAAGCTTTGAGCCATGCCAACTTAAAGCTATCAACAAAGTCAAGTTCAGCATAGGGCGAGGCCGAAGTTTGAGATTTTCCCGGGAAGACCGAACTTTCGAGGTTAATAAGTTGTTTTTTTTATTACATGACGTTTTGCTTTGGAATCAGAGCGCGCGAGCCAGTCATAGCGGCTGCAAACATAGGCCATATGATAACACTGTACCCTTTGACGGCTTTCCTTCTTTACTTAAGAACAAATTAAATACTTCACAACAAATAGCAGTTAAAAATGAAACCTCTGACAATTTCAACAAAAAGTGGAAAGACTTTATTTGAGTTTTTTTTCATTTTACTTACTTAGTTAAGTTATTAATTAACTTAATTAATTCTTAATTTAGTAATTCTTTCTTTCTTTTTTTTTTTGCAACGTACCTACTCAAAATCTTGTACTTTGTAATAGTTTGAAATTCTTTTTTTTTTGTATTTTTTGTAACACACATCATTACCTTCTGTATTATCTTTTGTATCTCTTTTACTTGGCCTATTGTAGTTCATGTTGTATTAATAATAATGATAATAATAAAATGAAATTTAAAAAAAAAAAACACTGTTTATCAGGTGATGCTACAATATTGATATCACACAAATGGCCAGTCATTGGTGAACCAATAATGGCAATCTTTATGTTATAATAGGTTACCATAGCAACAGTACAACCTGAAAAAGCACTCCTGCTGACTCGGTGAGCTCGGTGACGCCCTTTTTTCAACTTTTGCAAAGTTAAAAAATTCTGTCTAGAGGGTTTTATAGATCTTTTACTTTTTTCGAAAAATTAAGGTGACTCTGAGTCCCCTAGAGAGAAATTAGACAAGGTGTTTAAAAATTGTTTGTAGGTATTAGAAGCTGATCATTTTAGACAGAATAATTCGGAACATAGGCGTGTACCAAAATAATAATAAAAAAAAGGTTTAATTAATTTGACGTTGTAACGTACCGGACAATCTTCCTGGTATAAGAGATTTTGAATTTTTGGTCAGTCAAATTCCTGTCTCCCGGGCAAAAGTCGGTGGTCAAATGCCCCTACCCGAAACACTAGTAGAACAGAAGTTACGTGGTTTGGAAAATATAATTTTAACGAACGTCGAAATAGGAAATTAAAGCAAAGCGGTAATTTACTCTCAAACGCAAGGCGAATTTTTTTCCAGGCTCTTTTCCTCCGGCCTGGAACTCACGAACGAACTCAACGTCGTCAACTATCACGCGATAGAAATCTCGAGCTCATAATCTAATTGTTTAACACTTTCTTTTTTATGTTGTCAATCATAAAACATAAGCGCGAAATCTTCACGAAAATCGAAAGACTGAGAAGGGTCATGCATTTTATTATCTCAGAGATTTTGGTGTCAATTATTTTCTTTCTGACCTTAGAATTTACAGCAAGTAATCAATTGTTTTGTTTTATCACATGCGAACGTTTGGATATCCATTTCTGTCCCTTATGTGTCTCGGTTTATGATTCGCCAGCTAAAAAACGTGCAAACAAAAATCTGCGCGAAATCTTGGGCGTACTCCTCAGTGATTGGCTTGAGTTTCTAATCCATATTCATGCAATCTTTTACATGTGCTTCAAACCAAACAGGTCGGGGATGTGTGAGGGNCAACCCTCTATCCTGGTGATATCAAGAGATCCAGGCATATTTTCCCCAGTGGCGTAACTTTTTGTTTTCGCCCATATGTACTCTCCCATATCTCACAATTCTCTCACTTACTCCGAGAATGTTCAACAAGGCTATAACAAACGCTCAAAAAGTTTGATCTAAAACGTCAAACCGTCTTAAGGCAGTTCATTCGGTGAGAGAATATAACTGGCAATGTCACAAACAGTTCGCTCATGGAATTCCTCGTAAGTTCATGTTATGTTGTCAATGATGTGGAGACTCGTGTGGGAGAAACCGCATGTGTCCACGCCATAATGCTTTCAGAGCAATGTTCATACTACTTTAGTGAAGAAAGAGAACACTTCAGTTTATAAAGATTTAACTATTTTATTACATGCTAACGCAACATCCATAACAGAGAAGAAACAATGCCTCAAGATAATCGATTCTTGAATTGTCAAAAAGTTCTGACTACGTAAAAAACAATTTCGTTGTTTCCCACTGTCTTGGCTCACGTACAGAAATTTAAAAGGTCAAAAAAAAGTTGGGGAATATCATAGTTTAGTCCGGGTAACTTCTTTGTGAGTCGGATGAAGTACATACTTACTTTCCTGAAATCATTTTTCCCGGGTACTCACTTATTTGACGATAAAAACAAACGACATTTTGACCCCTCTGAGGTCATTTTCAAGTTAAAAGAAAGTGATTGAAATAAGCGTATATATGTAAATTTAAAACATGCGATAGTTAAAAGCGATAAAATGTGTACTCACTTATTATGTGCTTGGAAATCTAAACTTTGACTTACTTGACTTAATGTTTGACCTTCTGTCCCCAACTCAAAAAATAAAATTGTAAGCACAATCGCAAAAACTATTGAATATTAATTAACAAAACTGAGGACACATATTTAAATGTTTAACTATGCCCTTCATCTCAAAAGGACCATACAATAATCTTCACCAGTTCAAGGGTTACGTTATTTGCCAAATGTAAATCCTTCGCATCGGAGACCCAGGGGCAGTTAGTGGGGACGGGGAAAAGTCTAAACGGGCGAGAAAAAATTTCGTGCGAAGAATTCTTGACTTTTCTTTGCCCGAATTTTTTTCTCGCCCGTTTAGACTTTGCCCCGCCCCCTCTAACTGCCCCTGGGTCTCCGGGGATGAATCCTTCACTACATTTCCTCTCTTGTTGTAGCCCTCTTTTTTTGTATGTCCAACCATTTTGTAACAGTTTTTGTCACGAATAGAATAAACATGGAAAATCTATGACGAAATTAGAAAAACTAAACTAAACTTGGGTATATTCACTAAGATTATCCAACACAGCTCTCTCGATGAGCGAGTAAGTACGTTTATGTTTATCCTTTCGTAATTTCTTGGATAAGAGTTTCTTGAATAAGCTCAGGTGAGATCTTCTACCAAGCTTAGCTAAGCTTTTGAACTTCGCTGAGAAGATTCACCTTTAGGTGGTATCGGACTGAATCTCTTGTCCTAAAAACAAAACACACAATCTTAGTCATGGTTATAAAGAAACATTCGGAGTCTTTCAGATGTATCTAAGTAATAGCTGGTAAGAAACGTTTGTAGAATTCCTGTGAATACAATATCAACACCTTTCAAATACAATCAAATTTTTGTTCCACATCCGGGACGCTCAAATTTGCAGGCTATGGAAAATCGAACTGAATCTAGACAACAGCAAGATGGAAAGTTCGATCTCTACTTTCAAATCCGTACTTTCAAATTTTCACTTGGAAAAGGTAACCTAGGGCTTAATAAATAACTAGATCCTTTGTTTAAATATAAGGCATGCAGCGTTTATTGTCAGATCAATCGCTTCCGTCAGCGAATGTGAATGAAGCACTTTATACTTAAGAATACTTACGATTCACTTCTTTTGATCAAATTCTAGAGTGACATCATCTCCAATAAGTACAAAAGGCGCCCAGTATTTCACATCGCTGTACTTTTCTGATTCTCTGAGGCTTTTCACGGCCAGGTTCAGGGCCTCGCTTGCACTTCGTTCTTCCACAAGATGATGGTAGAAACTTCTCATAAACTCCAGGGTGGCCTCATCATCGATCGCCCAGAGTGAGACCAGAACAGAACGAGCACCAGCACCCATAAAAGCACGTGCAATACCGACCACTCCCTCTGCTTTGATCTCTCCTCGACCACTGTGACCACAACTCAGTACTACCAGTTTTGCTCGAAGTTGGACACTCAAGACATCTGCCATTGTTAAAACGTAATCATCCTCGGTGATTTCAGCTACTGTTTCGGGATCTGAGGTCAAAGCAATTTCACCATTTTCCATGCGACAATGTGCTGTAATGTGAACCAAGCCAACTGAACCCAGTCGTTTCATAACCTCAGCCTTGGTGGCCTCTTCTCCAGTAAGAGGTTGTACATTAAGAATTTCTCCAATCATTTCAACTTCCTGCTCTGAAAATTCAATCCGCCCTAAGACTTGCCTTCCCTGGCTGTCGGTAATTTCTTCTAGAAACGGATCTCCAAGAAGTAACGCACCACTCCTACAGTGGTATTCGTCAGGAAATTCAGCAATCATTTTCAAACTGGTCAGCGAGGGAATCAGTCGGATTCGAAACGATTCACAGAGATACCTGGAATCAGAGTCCTTGAAAGCGGCATAAGGAGCTAGCCACAGTGGACCATCTGGGACTGACTAGTTCACTTCCTTGGACGAGATCTGCAACTGGCTTAATCATGATGTTATACAATGTGGTCAAAGAACCAGCTTGCGCAAGAGAAGGCTGTGACTGCTTTCTTCTCCGATCCTTTGAACGATAT